CTCATTGTTCTCCCGTAGAAGGGCCCTAAGACATTTTTGGTTATCTTGTTCCTGCAAGCGCAGCTTACTGAGGACCTGAAGGAGATCCGAGATTTTTATATAATTTTCCGCATTTTGTTTTTCAAAATGCTTTACAAGTGGAGAGAGATGATCAGAGCTGGGTATATCCATAAGAATGATATTTGTAAAAAAAAAGGTCGAGTAATTTAATAAAAAGGGATTCTGCTGGGACGTTAATTTAAGAGTTTACGAAACGAAAATTAGCAGAGCTGTAAATAAAGAGACGACTGACACCGCAAGAAGCTACAGTGCGCTTAATGTAGAAGATAAAGAGAGAAAAAGAGATAAAAAGAGAAAGAAAATGTGGATTAATAACCTGACATACTTTATGACACAAGCGCGCGTAACTTGTACAGTACAAGATTCCTTGACCTTTGTTTACTACTAGCAAACAGAAGACTGAACGAAGGACTAACCGTTAGACGGACTGGGCCTGAATCGGCGCTGCAATAAAATCGGAACCACTCGCTGCTACCAGTAAATTTTGAGACTGGCGTAGCAGCGTTGCGCGACGAACAGAACTAAGAGCGACTGACGACGACGGAGGCGACGACCGATTATCGGAGGCCTCGATGACTGAACCTTGAAACTTTTGCAGCGAAACGAAATCGCGTGTAACACTCCCTTTTTACTCACCTCAAATTTGGGTTATTAAACCTATATGATACAATCAATATAACAATATACAACAATATACGTCCAACAATATACAACAATAAAATAGCGATAACCTTAATAAAGCTATGTACAATATCTAGATCATATATACCTAACAGTCGACAACAATTCTCTACTGTTCCTGCAGCCTAATTCCTTAGTCAATCTCACTCGACTCTATATGAAATATTTCAATAATAATAACTGGTACCCCAAGCAGCATCTACCGATACCCCGTCTCACCTAAGGCACGACCTAACTCCTACAGCCAGCACCTAACTAACCGCTAAACCCAAGAGGGAGGCGGGGGGGGGGGAACTCATCAAAGATAAAGTAAAGTAAAGGGGGAAGGGGTTTATCAAGTTAAATAAAATAAATAAAAGAAAAGGGGGGAGGGGGCAAGGGATGAGAGAGCTGAGGGCAGGGGAGCCACAAACTCTCCCCCGCCACTCAGCTTGAGTGAAGCGGAGAATAAGCTCTGCGTCCTAAGGCCGGGCTTATACAGAGGGAGAATTTGGGCGTAGAGGGGTAGGAGAGGTGTAGCTGACCCCGAGGGGCTGTAAAACCGCACATACCTGGTATGTTATTTTTGACTTTCGAGTTGTGAGCCTGTGATCATGCCGAACATAGTAATAATTTTTATGTTGTAAACTGCGGCATAGCTTATGTGCACGACTAGCCTGTTATTCTTGTTTTTCGGCGCAGTGGGTTCAAAAGCGCGCCGAGTGCGACAAAAATATTCTTTGTTATGAGGTCTAGCATATCACATATGCGTGACCTCACTAGTCGTAAAATCCTTTCCTACCGCCTTTTTGTTTTCAAAATTCCATGTGATGTTTGATCTGTAGGATAAGGAAGTGATATGAAATGGGAATAGCATTCCCATTTACACTTTTGTGGTTCCCGAGTTGAAAGTTGCGGACAAGTTGCTGCGGACACACAAACACACACAAAAACAGACATCCCCGTGACAACATGCGTTTTGTGCTGCTGCTACACAGCACAAAACGCATAAAAAGGAAGGGGGAGGGGGCAATAAGCGCCATCGTCGTACATCTGTCGGCCCAGCATCTTCCTTTGTTGAAGACGAAAGTGCATGAGGAGGACAGTGTCGCACGAGAGGAACTGAAGCATAAAAAACAAGTAAACATCCACATGTTTGTCAAAAGATAACTAGAAAAATATAAATTTTATACAGTTATTGCGAAATCGAGATTTAGCAATCTCGACACTCCCCATCGCAGAAAGTGTCGCTGCTCACAGTTGAATGAACTGATTGTTGCTGCCGTCTAATGATTTTACGATAGCCCAGCTCGTTGAATTTTCCGTCGTGCATAGGGGATGGTTTTAAGCGAATACTTCTCACTTTCGAATGTTGTATTGGAGCTACGAACGTTAGCGAACCACTGCCTGAAAAACATCGGCCAGCGTTCCGTCTAAGCGATTGCTGCTTTCCGGCTTGCGG